AAAAGTACTGAAATCTTGAATGTGTTATTGTGAATTGAGATGGGTCAGTCAATTGTGAAGATGTTGACATTCACCCCACCCCCACCGTCCTACTTCAACCATAACTTTATGATGATTAGAAAGAGAAATCGTGATGGACATATTCCAGTTGCAATAGTGAAAGAGAATGAGGAATGCACGTTTGTTGATGTTAAGTTAGCATGAGAAGAAGACTAATAGATAGGAGGTGCTGGACAATAGTCTACAGTCATGGAAATTCACAAGATTTAGGTATGTGTTTACCATTCATAGAAAATCTAGCACATCAACTAAAATGTAATGTTGTTGGATATGATTACACAGGATATGGTAGAAATGAGGGAGAAAGCAGTGAAATAAATAGTGTAGAAGATCTTAGGGATGTGTATAATTATCTGCACAACAACGGAGTATCATGGGAACGAATAGTGTTAATGGGACACTCTCTTGGAGGAGGAGTGAGTATTTCATTTGCAAGTCAGGAATGTGGGAAATGGGAAGAGGTACAAGAGATTGAAATGAATGAAAGTTTTGAAAGTAAAGAAGAAAAGAAAGAAGAAGAAATAAAGGAACAAAAGATAGGGGGAATGATTATTATCTCAACATTCACAAGCATTTGTGGAGTAGTAAGTAAATATGCAGGAATGGTAATAAATGATATGTTTGAAAATATAACAAAATTGAAACACATTAATATTCCAGTTGAAGTAATTCATGGGAGAGAGGATGAATTGATAGGAGTTGATGAGTCAGTAGAAATCTACAATTCAATTCCAGAAGAGATGAGATATGGATATGATATAATCAACGGATGTAAACATAATGACATTCTTGAAAATGAAGAATTAATTAAAGTAATCAAAAGATTTCTTGAAAAACTTTAAGAAAAACCAACACCAAAACGAAATAGAAAATATAACACAAGAAAATAACAATAGAAAGAAAGTTAAAACATAACAAAGGCCGTTGTTGATATTAAAGAGATAGATACAAACAGAAATGACATGAAAAGAACACTTGACAAATATACAGGGATGATTGTATCAACATATTTTGAAAATATTAATGACTTTATTAACTTTGAAATGACATGCAAAAAGTATGAAGGGAACATGGAAAAATTTCATTTTAATCCAATTCCAATTAACATAAAAACAAGAAGATACTTTCCTAATATTGAAACACTTCATTTAAGAAAAGAAAATGAAGAGAAAATAGAAGGAGGAAAAATCAATAAGAAAGTTATATGGTATAAAAAAACATATAGTGATGCAATTGAAGAAATAAATAAAGGAAATGAATGTAAAAATATTTGTTATACAAAAGAAGATAGAAAAAAATATGGAAATAATGTTCCTAAGAATGTAAATATTTTAGAAAATGAATGTTATAGTTATTGTATTGATTTAGAAACAGTAACAATTCCATCAAATGTAAAATCAATTGGATATAAATGTTTTTGTGGTTGTACTTCATTAAAATCAATTAATATTCCACAAAGCGTAACACTAATTGGTGATAAATGTTTTTTATATTGTATTTCTCTTACATCAATTTCACTTCCACAACATAATAGAATGCTAGATTGGATGTGTTTCTATGGTTGTGATAAATTAACAAGACTAACATTTAAATCATCTGTTTAATTAAATTCATGTCTATTTATTAAATCTATTTTATTTCATTAAATATTGATATCTTTAATAAATCAATTTTCTTTCTATTATATTTTAAGTAATATAAAATAATAAATAAAATAACAATCCATTTTGACTTTTCTATTTTGTTTGTTGAGACTATTTCATTCCCTCTCTTGAACTTTTTATCCATAAACTACTTCTATATCTCCGTAGTCACTTCTATGATTCCATTATTATTATAATTACATTTATTATATCTATTACCATTATTTCTAATTGTTTTATAATTTGGTGCTCTTTTAGATTTTTAACAGATTCTTTTTTTTGTTTATTATATTTATTATATATTATTGTTTTATTTTTATTTTAACTTTTATTCTATTTTATCTTGAATAATTCTCTATAATTTTATTCAATTGTAAATATATTACTTATCTTTCTTATTTGTTTTATCTTCTATATAAATATCTCCTTGGTTATGAATTGTTCATTTGGATTATAATTCGTTTCTGTGTCAGTATTTGAACTTTTTTTTATGTTATATTCTTCTTTGAATTTATCAATTCCTATTTTTTATTGAAGATAACTTCCATTTCTTTTTATTTTATTCTTTTTTTGTTTATTCATCATATATTTTATATTTTATATTAGTTATCTTTATTTATCTATCAATTCATGTTTATCCATTTATATATACTTATTACACTTTAATTTAATAGTATAGTAATCATTTTTGTTATTTCATCATTAAAAATACTTCACCATAATTATTGTTTTCTTAGTTCATATAAAAATTGCTTATATTCATTTCTCTTTATATTGTTTTTCATTATTTTAATTGTTAACTTCTTATCATTTTATTTTCATTGTATTTTATTAACTGATTGTTTATTTAATTTAATGTCCACTAATTAACATATTTCATTGTATTTATTATTTAAATATTTTATTATTATAAATATGTATTTTTTATTAATGAAATTGATACGTTTTATTATGTACATTTGTATTAATTCTTTTACTACAAATTTTATAGAATTTATACTCTTATTCAATTTCATCTTCGATATCTTATAAAATTATTTTATTGATATTTAGAAATATAATATGATATTTTATATATTTCTTTTTGATATCTTCTATATTTTCACATTCACACTTCAATTCTTCATTCATATATTTAATTATTTCATCATATATTTTTTATTGAAATAATAATTAATATATGTTATTTTATTTATTTTTCTTTATTTTATTGTATTATTTCATTTTATTATTATTTATTTCATCTTTCATGTTGTTTATCATTATTTATTTTAGTTTATTGAATATATTTATAATTATTCATTATATTTATTGTTATTTATATTATCTTTTTCTTGTTTCTTTCATCTGTTCTGTTCTTTTATTCATTTCTATGTATTATTCTTCTTTATTTATTATTATTATTATTCTTTCTTCTATTATCTCTTTAATTTGTGTAATATCTAATTTTCATTTTAATATTTATTATATTTAATCAATAATATTAATAACTTTTTATCTTCTTTTCATCAAGTTCTGATTGTTCATTTGTTCTTCATTATTTATTCTATATTGATATCCTCTCCAATTATCTTCTCCAGTTATTCTAATGTCATTCTTAGTAATTCTTCTCTCATGATTTGAATTACTCATTCTTGTATTTGTTTTAGTTTCTTCCTGGTTTCTTCTTTGATAGAATCTACTTCTTCTCTTCTATAATTATTCCACTCGATCCACTTCTTTGGTGCTTCTGTTTTGGCAATATTGTTTTCTTCTTCTTCAATTTGTTAAAATTTACATCTTTGATATCTTCTTTATTAAAGTTGTTTTCTTTTTCTTCTGATGGTTTGATAATTGAATTTTCTTTTATTGTTTCAATCTTATCATTTTCTTCTTTCTGTTTCTCTATTTCTTTTATCTTCTAATTCCTTGTTTTTTCTTCTTTCTATTTCTATTTATTTGTCTTTAATTTCTTTGTGTTTTTGTTCTTTTATCTTTGTTATTTCTTCTTCTTGTTGTTTGTTTTATCTTTTGTTTTATTGTTTTCTTCTTCTTGTTTATTTCTTATTTCTTTCTCTTATTTCTTTCTTTAATCTATTTATTTCTTCTTCCTTTCTTTTGTTTCTCTAAATTCACTTTCAATGCTCGTATTTCTTCTTCTTTCTGATAAACTTCTATCTGGTGTTTACTCTTCATTCTTTCTATTTCTTTGTCTTTCTTCTTTACTTCTTCTTTCTTCTCTCTTTTCTTTATTTCTTCTTCTTTCTTTTGTATTTCTCCATTTCTTTTATTTCTCTTTCTTGTTCAACTTCTATTTCTTTTTTCTCTCATATCTTTCTATTGTCTCTTCTCTTCTTCTATATCCCTTTCTTGTTCTTGTGTTGTTTCTTCTTTTTCTTCAATTTCCATGTGTATTTCTTCTTGTTCTTCTTCTTTCTTACATAACTTCTCTTTTATTATCTTTTCTATTTCTTCAAATCTATTCATCCATTCTTGGATTATTTTCTTGTTTTCTTTTGTCTTTCTTCATTGTCTTTTCTTGTAATATCTTCTGTTTCTATATCTTTTACTTTGTTTATTTTCATAGTAATATTGATTAAACATTTTATCTGTATTATAGTATTTGTGGTTATAATAATTACTTTTCTTTTTATTCTAATTGTGATTATTTGAGAATGTACTATTGTATTTATAAATATGATAATTATTATTAAAGTGATTATGGCTATTATTTTGTTGATAATGATTATAGTTATAACATTGATAATGTCTTCTAAATCTATTTGTTTGTAATAATTATTTCTATATGATTTTCATGGCATTCTTGTATTACAAAAATAGTATACAGATATAATTATATTAATAAAATAAGATATAATCATTCTTATTCTTGTTATTTATTATATTTGATTTTATATTTTATATTGATTTTTATCTTTTCTTAACATCACTCATTTCTTCTTTTTCTCATTTTTTTTCTGTTCTAAACATCATTTATTTCTTATTTTTATTCTTTACTATTATTATTATTTTATATTAGATGATATTTTATTATTTTATATTTGTTTGTATTGTTTGTTTATATTTTATTATTATTATTTATTGTTGTTTATCTTATATCATTTATTTATTATATGTTGTATTGATATTTATCATTGTTAATATGAAATGAATAATAATGAATAAATATAAAATAAGAATAAAATGATATAAGGATATAACATAAATAATAAAATAAGAAATACATAATAGATATAAAGATAAAAGAAGAAGAATAAAATAAATAAATATAAAATAATATAAATAAAATAAAAAATAAATAAAAAAGAATAAAATAAATATTTTATTATATTTTTATTTATCTTTTATTCTTATTTCTTTTTATTATTTATTAAATTAACACAATGAATATGATTATTTCAAATGAAATAAAACAAAAATGAAATATGAACATTTTTATTTTCACCATTTCATTATTGATAGATGAAATGTTCATATTTATTTATTGATTTTATTTTATATTCTTTTTTAATTTTATAATTCAAATAAATAATAATGAATAAAAATTATTTCATTTCAATTATAATGATTCGTTGTGGTGTGAAACGTTCTGGATGTTGTTTTCCACAAAGTGATTTTGATATTCCTTTATATTCATATGAAGATTGACAACATCTTGAATTTGTTTTATTATTTTCTTTATAAACACAAATATCATTTCCATATCCAAATGCAAACAAATAACCATGTGATTGATTATTTAACCAAAATGCATGTTGTGGATCATTGATATCAAATTTCATCATTCCTTGTATTCTTCCTTTTGATTCTAATGAAAATAAAAATGATTTTGGATCATTTATATAATCACCAAATTTATCAATTTTCACATTAACATATCCTCCAAATTTATTTCCATTTGTATCTTCAATAATAATTATTATACGTTCTTTATTTATTATTCTTTGTTCAAATACTGATGTATTAACTTTCCAATTATCTTTATCTGAATCAAATAATATATTCGATACTTTTCTATTTGTCCATTCTTCTATTTGTTTCATTTCTTCAATTGTATTCATTCCTTTCATTATTCTTAATCTTTCTTCTTCTTCTTTTATCTTCTTCCTCTCGAAATAATCACTATATTGTGTAAACCATTCTTCTTTCTTTTTATTAAATTTTGTTTTAATATTGTTAATTTCTTCTTCTAATTTCTTAATTTTATCTTTCATATTCATTTCTTCCATATGAATGATTTTATCTATTAGTTCATCCTTTGTTTTATTAATTGTTTCTGAATCATCATTACATTCTTCTATTATTTTCTTCATTTTATTTTTAATTATTTCTATTGTTTTAATTGTTTCTTGACTTTTTTCTATTACTATTCTTCTTCTTCTAATTATTTCATCAATTCTATCAAATATTCCTTCTCCTCTTTTAATTGCTTGTTCATATGTTTCATTATCTTGTTTCTCAAATATTTCATTTTTAATACATCCTAAATAATAATGATAATGTTTAGTAGTATCATCAATTGATTGATAAATATTTGGAAGTGTTTCCACTATTTCTTTAATTAATTGATTATTCATCACTGATTCCATTTTAATTTAATAAATATCAGATTAAAATAATAAGATTAAATAATTAAATACAATCTTTGTAACACATCATTTTATTTATTATTTTAATAAATGTTATTTCATTTTTATTGTTTTAAATAACAATAATAAAAAACAAGAAAATAGAAGATAATAAAAATAATAAATAACAAAACATCTCATCATAATTAATGATAATATCACATAATAATGATATAAATGAAAATGAAATAGAAATGAAAATACAATTAATCATAAAAATGTAGATAATTAAGTGTTATTTTTATTATTTTATATTGTTCATTGATCCTTTTATCAATTCAGAATATACAACAAATTTTGTTGCCATGGCTATTGAGTAATACCATAGGGTCT